TGAAGAACTGTCCGGATAATTCATTGTACAAGACAGCAATTAAAGACCAAAGGCCTGATAAATAGCACCAAATAAAATTTTTATGGACCATAGAGCATATTGCAATTGATGTCAAAGCCAGATTCCTTTCTTGGGTTAAATTTGTGAATTCCAGAATTAGAACCCAATCATCTCTCCCCAAAATTCAGTCATTCGTGTAATGGAGACCTAGTCCTGACATTGCTGTCAACTTCGGTTGGTTGTGGGATGGGAACACGAATAAATTGTGAAAAAAAATTACTGAGAGACCAGAAAACTGGAAGTCTACAGCAACGAAAGGTAAAGTAGCTATTGCTCATCATAAACACCTATCATTTATTTATAGTCTCCCTCTCTTTTTATTTTAATTAGTGTGTATTAAACATCATTTAAATATTTTATTCACATTTCGCTCATTTTATATCGATCATGTCTTCTTTTTTTCTTGGAAAATTAAATGATGCAAAAAATTGTATAAAAATCAATTTGAATTCAATTTTTAGTTTTTTCAAATGACTGAATGACGTTTTTCATACTAATTGTTAGACTATTATTTACACACTGAATTGTCGACGGATTTTTCCGTTATTTCCCGATCATGACAAGGAGCACACGGCGGGTGTGACCGGTCGGCAGGGGATGCTCACTCCTCCATGGCACCTGATCCCACCTCTGATGTTTTGGAAGTCCGTGTTTGCTCTGCTCCTATTTTGTATTGTTTAATGGACTTTTGAGCTTGAATACTGTTCGTTATCTCCATATATTTCATTGTAATGATCATTTTGAAAAGAATGTATCAATAAATGCCTGTATTAGTCTGCATAGTCATCTCCATTGTCAATTGTTGTCTTGTAGAATTTCACGTACTGCAGTTATTACACACAGTTTCAATTGTTTAGGAAATGTTGTGTTAATGTTTTGATACGATGGGTAAGGAAAATCATTAAGTAACGCTGCATTTTACAATATCTTATGTGAAAGAATGGGGAAAGAGATGTATTAATTGTGCCCTTTAATAGCCCACATGTTTTCAAACTTTATGCATCAGGATTTATTCCAGATCTTGTGCTTAAAATGAACACTCTTGCTGTTGCCTAAGGTTTTTTCAATTAACAAACTTATTTTATTGTAAATAAAAACATTTTTGGCAGCAAATTTTGTAATGAGATACTATTGTTATAATTATATACTCATTGGTGATAACAATAATGATTAAGGTCTTGAAATTAGCCACCAGACATGTAGGTGGGGGGCATCATTATTGTTGGCATCTGGTAGATGATTACACAAGTCATCAGATGGAATTTGCAATCTGGCATGGCAGGGACACTGTGTATGCAATGGCCAGTGTTAATCCAATTAATTTTATCCAATCGGAACTAAGTACTCCTATACTAAAATCTTATCTTGACTAGAGAAGTCACACTTTAATCACTTCTTTGTTTTAATAGCTGCCAGACGCACCTAAATTTTTTACGAGAAATCAATTTACCCACCCACCAGCACCCTGCTATAATTTGTTTAAAAATTCATCAGTCCTAAATCACAAGCAAACTAATTTTTGTTTTTGCGTTGTTCAGTTATTATAATTATATTCTGGTAACAACTTGTTGCTTTCTACAACTTATTTATGATTTTGTAATAAAAATCTGGGTTTCAAAATTGTATGTATATCACATTTTATTATACTGATGTTATTTTTATTGATAGGCGGTTTTTTAACCCCACCTTTGCAAATTTATTGTCATTTATTCAGTCATTTTTTTGTTAATCAATGATTGACACTAATTTCATCAACTGATCAAATATATTTGTGGTAAATTGAATAAATGACCTTTCTCACAAAACAAAGTTGTTCTGTCTTTTAAGTGCAAATGAACTCGGACTCATTGGAGATCAAAAAGTGGTTGTTACGTGTTGACAAGTAAACATTATATTATTATAAAGAAACATGGAATGAATTTGAGGTTATTTTAATAATGGAAAAATTTGGGTGACAAAAATGATCTTTTTCATTAATACGTCCAACTGAACTCGAAATAAAAGACGCAACAGATGTTTTTGTTTTTTTTCTTATGGAAAATTAACAACAGAACTCTATGATAAACGGGGTAACTTTAAAATTTCCTTCTCAACTTATTAGTCCCCTACCGGTTAAACTACAGGTTTCCTCTGAGTCTGTACGTCCGTTTGTCTGTCTGTCTGTCCGTCTGTTTGTCTGTCCCTCTGTCTGTCTGTCAGTCTGTCCCACTTGTTTTCCGCACTTTTTTTCTAAACGCTTGCATATATTGAGCTGATTTTTGGTATGTGAGTGTATCTTGATGAGTTACACATCAAGTTTGCATTTCGTTCCGCTTCAACGATTTTGGACGGATTTACGACCTTTTCAATTTTTCAGGGTTTTCCGCACTTTTTTTTTAAAAAGCTTGCAAATATTGAGCTGATTTTTTGGTATGTGACTTTACCTTGATGAGATATAGATCAAGTTTGCTTTTAGTTCCGCTTATTGATATTTGACGGAATTATGGCATTTCCAATTTTAAATGGGAACAAAATTACACTTGCCGGTAGGGGACTAGTATTGCAAATGCAATACTCTCAGAATGCTTGTTAGTCCCCTACCGGTGAAACCGGAGGGGGTTATAGGTTTCCTCTGAGTCCGTCCGTCCGTCTGTCTGTCTGTCTGTCTGTCCGTCTAGCTGTCCCTCTGTCTGTCTGTCAGTCTGTCCCACTTGGTTTTCCGCACTTTTTTCTGAACGCATGCAGATATTGAGCTGAATTTTGGTATGTGAATGTATCTTGATGATTTACAGATCAAATTTGCATTTCGTTCCGCTTCAATGATTTTTGACGGATTTATGGCATTTTCAATTTTTAACGGGAACCAGATTACACTTGCCGGTAGGGGACTAGTATTGCTAATGTGATACTCTCAGAATGCTTGTTTATTTATGAATAAACCATAATCATTCTGTATACGTTTTTTATGTCTCCCAGTTGATTCGATACGCAAGAGCATGTTTGCAAGAGGATGTTCAATGTCAACATTTTCACCACTCTCAGATTCTATGACCGTTTTTTGACATTATTTGTCAAATTATATAATCTGTCGTTGATTCTGATCCTAATCCTGACGATTTCGTTGACCAGCATAAAATGAAAGAATACAAAGTTATGTATTCAGTAATTCTTCAAAACCAGAATACAGCTGGACTTCTTTTTATTGCCGTTCTCCAATAAAGCCTATTTAAAATACAACCTTTTCGGAAAAAAAAATATTTCTCAAATTTACAGTCGTTTCTTTAGTCTAAATTTGCTAAAAAAAAAAAATTGATGCATGAAACATGAAAACTGATTATAATCTCAATTTAAAAAAAACATGAATACTGATTATAATCACAAAAAGGTCCAGTTTTATAGTCCAACACATTTTAACTCGAAGTACACACCCTGTATTTCTCATAAATTATATTCCACTTACTTCATAACTTTTATATTACAGAGAATTTAACTCTCAATGCTTAAGTTCTGACTACACGTTCCTGACTTTGTATCTCTTTGTAACTAAGCAAAACTATTATAAAGTTTACTATCTCATGAGATCTAAACTATTTGCAAAATGTATTAACAATATTCCTTAATAGAAAGAAAAATTGTTATATCAACAATTCAAGAGATTCCAAAAAGGATTGTATAGAAAAACCCATCTTCTGGTATCTTGGTCAAATGCCTGGTAATGTACGACATTTTTTGTGAGGAAGCTAATTAATGCATCAGTTCTTTAGAAATTTGTGGAAATCAAAACAAATCAAAGCATTACTTAAATACTTTAAACAACCAATTCCCATGATGAATTGTAAAAAGGATTATCTGGTTTTTAGATGGATGCATTGTCAGTAAAATGGCAGTTCGAAAATACTTTTTTGTATTAATCTTTTTATAAAAAACATTCTTATTCCTCCCTGAGAGGAATAAGAATAATGAAAGTCTGAAGTAGATATTAACAAAATGCTGAAAATTCTGTTATATATTGCACAGAAGAATTCATACGATTTTCTCTCTTCAATTTGTATAATGATATGGTTGTTCAAGTTATACATCAGTCGGTAGAGCACTCGCTCCGTAATCGGAAGTTCGTGGGTTCAAACACCGGCGGCGACTGACTTAAGTCGATAAATTTATAGATAGCAACTGTTCCTTCGCCAAGCGCTGGGCAAATTGAAATGAAAATTGCTGGTCCTTCGGACAAAACCATAAAAAAACCGAGGCACCGTGTCACGGCAGGCGTTGGCATGGCCTAACTGCTTGAATGCCAAGTAAAGGTCTAGATTTAAAGCCCTTCACCGGTATATGGTGACGTCTCTATATGAGTGAAAAATTCTTGAATGGGACATTTAACAACATAAAATCAATTAATCAAGTTATGCATTTCATATGAATATTTTTTTAACTTATGAATACTCTTAGCTTAGTCATCTCGATGCAAATGCTGATATACTTCAGTATAATCCCTATTTCTCTGAAATTTCAATTTAGATTTTAAATTTCAGGGTTTTTTTTTCTCTCTTCTTCTCAAAAGATCGCCCGCGTGGCGCAGTGGTTAGAGCGTCTGCTCTAGAGTCGCGGAGTAAGGAGTTGATCCTTACGTCGCGGGTTCGAATTCCACTGCGGGACGTGGAGACCGGTCCCTCGGATGAGACCGTATAAACCGAGGTCCCGTATCGCTTTAGGTACTGGCACGGAGAAGATCCCTCACTGCTCAATGTCCCAAAGTGCCCAGTATAGGTCAAAATTTGTAGCTCTCCACCGGCAAGTTGTGGTGTCTCCATATGAGTTAAACAACAAACGATCAATCAATCAATCTTCTCAAAGAAAACATCAGTTTTACATTAAACGAAAACTATGACAACTGTTATATATATACATGCATAACTTACATTTACATACAATTTTGTATCTTTTGAAATAGCGAAGTTTAAGTTATGGACTCTGTGGAATTCAGGAGACGAGGAAAAGAAATGGTTGACTTTATCGCCAATTACATGGACACCATTAATGGGAGGAGAGTTACACCGGAAGTGGAACCTGGTTACCTAAGAAACCTACTTCCAGGAAAACCGCCACTAAAAGGAGACAAATTTGAAGATATAATGAATGATGTTGAAAGGGCAATCATGCCCGGTGTGAGTTTTTTGCTATGTTTTAATTGATTTTCAACAATATTTTAAAACTGGAGATTCCATTTCTTACTGTTGGAGTTATTTCACTTCATTGAATTTAAAATATGTTTTAGATAACCCATTGGCAGCATCCAAATTTTCACGCCTATTTTCCCGCTGGCAACTCCTTCCCCTCTATTCTGGGTGACATGATGTCGAATGCTATTGGTTGCGTTGGTTTTTCATGGGTAGGACATTACAAAGTCTTATTTCTCGATTCTATCGCGATTTACCAGATTTTTTATTTGTATGTGTATTTTTAAACAGACTTCATATTCTTCTACAGGCTGCAAGTCCTGCCTGTACAGAATTGGAGACCCTCGTCTTAGACTGGATAGGTAATTAACAATTCCTAAAAGTTTATGTCGGATGCCACTATATTGTTTTCTAGTGAGACAAAGTGGACCTCCACAAAATCCCAAAAATGACCTTAACTCTAAAAAAAAAAAATCAAAGTAACTGTTCTTTTGTTATTGATTACAATCATTATATGCAAACGCTTGTAATTTTACATAAAACATTAAAAAGGATATTATCGCGTATAAATATATACATTCTGTAACAGTCAGACATGAATGCATTCATGCCACTTTTATAAGAGATATATTCCATTATTTTCAGGAAAATCAATAGGATTGCCAAAACAGTTTTTGCATGAAGAGGGAAAAGGCGGTGGAGTTATTCAGGTTCTGTCCTCTTTTCACTTAATTTGATATGATGATATAAAAATCTTTCATCCCAGTGCACTTATAGTCTAATATTAGACAACTTACAGTCATTTTATAGAAATACTTAATGTACCATTTGATAACCCCTATAAATATTTCAATGGAAAATCTTTTTTAACCATAAACTTTTAATCACATGATAAAAGATGGTATTTGACATTATTAAAAGAGCATATGGTTGCTTGCAAAACATTACGATATTTTTAAGAGACAAGCATTCTATTAATTTGCAAATTGGTTTTACGATAATTTTTTTTAGTTCTAAACAATTTTCAATTTGCATGGTTTTCTTTCATTTATCTTAAAGACGCAGACAATTCTGATGGTATTCTCTGTATACAAGATTTAATTAAAATACAATAATGTCTAAATAGAGGTACGTTAAAGAACTTTAAATAGAATACATCCTTTATTACTTATGACGCAATATGCAACAAGGGTGGAAACCAGAATATTTTGTTCTGTAATGGTATACGAAGAATTTGTAATGAAATCACTAACATTAATCAGGGTTCTGCTAGTGAGTGTGTCCTTGTAATGTTGCTGGCAGCCAGACACAAAGCCATGACACAACTGAAGAAACAACTTCCATACATGGAAGATGGTGTTCTTTTGTCCAAACTTGTAGCCTATTCATCAAAACTGGTAAGCTTTACATAATAATAGGATAAAAAGCACTTTGAACCTTTGAAAATATCAAAGAAAAATAATCATATTTCAATCAATAACGCAAAAATAAAGGAAATTAGAGTGCACCGCTTATACAAGTTGAAGGTAATATAAAACGAGAAACAATAAGTCCAAGGAAGTTATCAATATTTATAGACTTTCCAGTCACTGAATCTTTGCTGGAAACAAAACAACACTAAACTCTTGTCCTATTTAAAGCATAAAAATGCTTTGATTAAATCAGAATTTGACAAGCGAACAATGATATTTTCTGAATGATTTCTTGGGAGATGGGGTGGGGATAGGGGATCCATATCAAAATGCAATGAAATCACAAAATGAAGCGTAATCCCTCATTTGTATTGTCCGCTTAGTGATTTCACTTTCTTGTTATCATTCTTTAGCATTGACGCCTTTGCTTCTTTTCGCTATTAACTAAGATTTTTCCCAGCCTCACCCCGAGGGCATTGGAATGAATGGTCCCAACAGTACTCTGTTACATATATTTATTCCTGGTTTTAAATAGTAAGAAAAGTATTCAGAGCTACTTCTTATGCGTTTAAAAAAGGGATGTGGAGATGTCAGTATCAGAGGGAGTCCTAAGTACTCATCAAACAGTAGTAGAGATTAATTCTTCAAGTATAATTTTAATATCCCACTATTGGAATATTATTTCTTATCCATTTATCTCCTTTAGGCACACTCTTGTGTAGAAAAAGCAGGGATGTTGGGTTTTGTCAAGATGAGGCAACTGGATGTCGATGAACAGTATTCACTAAGGGGACATGTTCTCGAAAGGGCAATAGAGGTAAACGCTGAGGTTTTACGGTTTGGTACCATAAGTATGTATTCAATAATAAAGTATTGTATATCATAACACCAGTTAGTGTTGTCTGTTAACCAAACTCAGTCGTCTTATTAACAAATCTGATGTTCAGATCTTTGCATTTGATTCATCTCTGCGATGTTCTAATAAACATATACTGTATATTGGACAATTAATATGATGGTTTTAATTTCACTTTGTTCCCAGTTGAACATTTTTCTGCGAAATATACCCATAGTACGGCGCAAATATCTAATTCGTCCGAACAAATGAATATTTTTTTTATCTGGCCTTCCAACGGCGCCACAGTTAATAAGGTTATTAATCTCACAATACAGTTTTTAATACAAGGCACACGTCTCTAAGTGAAATTGAACCATCGCGACTGGTACTCTTGTTTCAAACTGTGAAAATTTAGCACCATAGAATTAAATCGACTTACAGTACATTTTTATATAGATTTATGATAAGAATAATTTGTTTTATCCATCTTTATATAAATATTACTGCATTTCAATAATATCAGACGTGATACATTTTATTACTATGTTTTTTTTATTTATCTTAGGAAGATAGACGTCTTGGTCTTATTCCATTTTTTGTGAGTAAATATCAAATTCATTCCTTGAATTTCATTGGTATAAAACGTGAATATATGTCAACTGAATAAGAATGTTTCTTCCTCAACTTAGTCTTATCAATGGAGTATTACCAAACTCTTTAATATATATATTTAACACTGTTAACTTTTAGCTCACCTGAGCCGTAGGCTCAAATGAGCTTTTTTGATAACATTTTGTCTGTAGTCCGTCTGTCTAGCTGTCCGTCTGTCTGTCCGTCCGTCTGTAAACTTTTCACACTTTCGACTTCTCAAGAACCACTGGGCCAATTTCAACCAAACTTGCCACAAAGTATCCTTGGGTAAAGGGAATTCAAGTTTGTTCAAATGAAGGGCCACGCCCTCTTTCAAGGGGAGATAATAAAGAATGAGTGAAAAATTAATAGCATCTTTTAAAAATCTTCTTCTCAAGAACCACAAAGCCAGGGAAGATGAAACTCATGTGGAAGCATCCTCAGGTAGTGTATATTCCAGTTTGTTCAAATCATGACCCCCGGGGGTAGGACGGGGCCACAATGAAGGATCAAAGTTTTACATAGAAATATATAGGAAAAACCTTTAAAAATCTTCTTCTCAAGAACAGCAAAGCCATGATGAATCATATTTATACAGAAGCATCCTCAGGTAGTGTAGATTCAAATTTGTTCAAATCATGACCGCCGGGGGTGGGGCGGGGCCACAATGGAGGATCAAAGTTTTACATAGAAATATATAGATAAAATCTTTAAAAATCTTTTTCTTAAGAAGAGCAAAGCCCTTATTGGTCATATTTATATAGAAGCATCCTCAGGTAGTGTAGATTCAAATTTATTCAAATCATGACCCCCGAGGGTGGGGCGGGCCACAATGGAGGATCAAAGTTTTTCATAGAAATATATTGGAAAAATTTTAAAAATCTTCTTCTCAGGAACAGCAAAGCCCTGATTGATCATATTTATGTGGAAGTATCCTCAGGTAGTGTAGATTCAAGTTTGTTCAAATCATGACCCCCTGGGCTAGGGTAGGGCCACAATGGAGGATCAAAGTCTTAAATAGAAATATATTGGAAAATATCTTCTGATGAAGAACTGCAAAGCCATGATTAGTCATTTTGATATGGAAGCATCCTCAGGTAGTGTAGATTCAAATTTGTTAAAATGATGACCCCCGGGGATAGGGGTGGGCCACAATGGGGGATCGAAAATTTTACATAGGAACATATAGGAAAATATCTTCTTTTCAAGAACTGAAAATCATGTTTAGTCATTTTGATATGGAAGCATCCTCAGGTAGTGTAAATTCAGTTTTGTTCAAATGATGACCCCCGGGTGTAGGGTGGGGCCCAATGGGGGATCAAAAGTTTTACATAAGAACAATTAGAAAAAATATTTCTTCTCAAGAACAGAAAAGCTAAGTTTAGTTACATTGATATGGAAGCATCCTCAGGTAGTGTAGATTCAAGTTTGTTCAAATGATGACATCTGGGATAGGGAGGAGCCACAATGGGGGATCAAATTTTTACAAAGGAATATATGGGAAATTTTTTTAAAACCTTCTCAAGTACAGCAAAGCCATTTGTTATATTGACATGGAGGCATCATCAGGTAGTTTAAAATTCAAGCCCCCCCCCCCCCCCCCGGTAATCTTTTCAATACTGAACTGATTTGTGCTTTTGCCTAGCCAATGTGCTCAGGTGAACGATGTGGCCCATGGGCCTCTTGTTTTTATTTTAAAGTCGCCCGCGTGGCGCCGTGTTAGAGCGTTTGCTCTAGAGTCACGGAATAAGGAGTTGATCCTTACGTCGCGAGTTCGGATCCCACTGTGGGACGTGGAGACCGATCCCTCGTATGAGACCGTATAAACCGAGGTCCCGTGTCGCAGTAGGTGCTGGCACAAAAAAGATCCCTCACTGCTCAATGGCCCTAAGTACCGAGTAAAGGTCAAAATTTGCGGCTCTCCACCGGCGAGTGGTGGCGTCTCCTTTTGAGTGAAAAATTCTCGAGAGGGACGTTAAACAATAATAAACAAACAAAACAAAACTTTTTTTTAAAACCACTGATCCAGTTACAATCAAACTTCCCACAAAGCATTCTTTGGTGAGAGGAATTCAGATTTCTTTTAAATTGAACGGTCACACCCTCTCCCAAAAAGGGGAGGGTGAGTAATTGGGAGCCACTAGGGAATAGAAAAAGTTCTCTATCATTAAAAAACATTTCTACAACCAATGGGTCAGAAGAGACAGATCTTAAGTGAAAGTTGATTTAAAACTGTAACTCTGGATAGGGTTGGGCCACAATAGGGGATAAGATTTATGTAGGGAAATAAGGGAACAAAATTAAAATTCTTCTCAAGAACAAAAGGACGTGATTAGTCACATTAGCATGCAAGCATCCTCATGTATTGCTGATTTAAAATCGCATGGCACCTGGGCTAAGATTAGCCTTAAAAGGAATTTAAAGTTTTACATGGGAATATACAGGATATCAAAACATTCTTTTCAAGAGAAACAGGACCACATTATATCATATATATATGCAAACATTTTATAAATTGTGGATTCAAGTCATTTTCAAATTATGGATCCTGGGGTAAGATGGGGCTAAAATTTTACATGATGATTGTATAAAGGAGAAAAATTTCTTCTCCAGAACAGCAACATTATGCCATGTAAACCGTATTGATACTGAAGAATCTCAATGTTGCGCTTATTCAAGCTGAGTAGGAGAAACTTCAGACGTACTGTTTTACAGTATATCCTAGAAGTGGTGTAAATCAGTTGTGGATTACCAATAACTCAAAAGAATTTTTAGAAAATTTAAAGTCACAATTTTTCTCAAGTAAATAACATCTAATTGTACAACTTTTCTACACTTGATACAACTATTCCTAACGATTACTTAAAAACTAGGTTTTTTAATATCATTGAAACTGCTTCTTCAATAACAATGGAGCTCGGAAATTTTTATTTCTTGTGATTAGTCATCAGCAAATTTACTTTTTTAAAAATCACTCTGATTCTACACAAAAAGGACTCAACAACCTCGTTTAAAGTCAGCATTTCGTAGATTTTGTGGTTGTTATACATGTAATAACCTTGTTAGCAGATATAACCTATCGTGGATCGTATTTTGGCTAAGGTGTTTCATGCCAATTGTTAGGCCTTTGTTTTTATACCAAATTTGACTACGGAATGTTCTGTCTACCTGATCAGTACATAGAACTCACGGCGGGTGTGACCGGTCAACAGGGGATGCTTACTCCTCCTAGGCATCTCATCCCACCTCTAGAATTTCCGGGCGTCCGTGTTTTATGCCCTGCTCTAGAATTTGTAGTGTTTGTAGATTTTTTGAGATAGATCACTGGTCGTTATCATTTTGTTTCATTTTAGGATCTCTTAAAAATAGTGTAGGGCTACAATATGGATCAGTATTTTTCAGGAATTAAATACTAAGTTTTTAAAAGAGTTATTTTTATTTTTGAAATAAACAGGCCCACGGTTAACCAGGTGAATGATGTGGCAGACAAAATGTTTTGTTTCAAATTAATTACGAACCATTTGCTCAACAGTTTGTTCAAACAACTTGGAGAACAAGTCTGTTAAGGTTTATGTATCAGCTTATATATTTCTTGAACATAGGTATGCTCAACAATCGGCACCACAGCGTGTTGCTCGTTTGATAATGTTGCGGAGCTGGGGGAAGTGTGTGCCAGAGAAAATGTCTGGCTACATGTGGACGCTGCTTATGCTGGGAACGCCCTCATTTGTCCTGAATTTAGGTTTCTTATGAGCGGAATTCAGGTAGATATAAGGTTTCTTCTATTTTCATTATTCTTTAGAAAAATAAAGTGATTTCAATTGCAATTTATGATAAATTTGAAGTCTACGTCGGTAAATATTGGCTAAAATGTGTCAAACTTAGTTCTGAAGAAATTTATATTGCAGAATGTTACCTCTATCAACTTTAACCCAAACAAATGGCTTCTTGTGAACTTTGACTGTTCTCTATTATGGTGAGATTTATCGTTGTAATATTTCACTGGGAAATGTAGGATAATATAGGGAACGAGGACTAGAAACCGGTAAACAGGAGATGCCTACTCCTCCTAGGCTCCTGATCCCACATCTGGAATCTCCAGGGGTCCGTGTTTTATGCCCTGTTTACAGATTTGTATTGTTTGTAGGTTTTTCGAGATCGATCACAGTTCTTTATCTTCACATATTTCATTACAAATACAACTTGAAGTTGTTTTTCTTACTAATTGTTAGGCCATTGCTTGCATACTGCTTTGTCTACGAAAAATCCGAAGAAAACAACGAGCTCGAGCTCACAGCGTGTGTGACCCTACAACAGGGAATGCTTACGTCTCCATGGTACCTGATCCCATCTCTGATGTCTTCAAGATTCTGTTTGCCTTGCTCTTAATTTGTTTTATTATTGAATTCATAGCTTGATTTCTGTATAACTATGATTTCTAAATAATTTATTACATTTGATTTACCAAGTATTTAAGGAGACATGAAACATAATAAGTACTTCATACTTTCAAATTTGAATGTATAGGGGTAGGTGGCCTCATTAATTACAAAAATAATTTAATTATTTGTACATCGAAAATTTATAGCTGCATATTTTCTGGAAGGAAAGTTATACATTTAATAAGATAAACATTGTATGGTACATATATAATTAGACAAATGATGAAACTATGCCATTCAGTCAACTAAATGGGTATACAAAGAAAACTTACCAAAACTGTTTTGAGATATCGATTACACGTAACAGGGAAATCTAATAAATAAATGGAATGAAGATTCGTGTAAATATGGCTCTTGCGTAGATCTTAGCTCTCTTTTACTTTAACATGTATTCCTAATACATTTGGTTTCATCTCTTTTACATACATATATATCGTGCTTTATTTCAATGTAACTAAACACATACCAGTTAATCATAGGATTTCATATTAAAAAAGTGCGAGTACTATTACTGCTTACATGGATTTGTATTACCGTGTGTATATTGTATTGTCAAAAGTGTGTCTAATGTCAGTGCATGTTAAAAATCTTTTTTGTTATCTTTGTGTGTAACCGATGTCCAATGTATTGAAAAATGTAGCTTCATAAGTTACACGTATGTCCTATGTGTGTATATATGCCATTTTTTTTATAAATGTTTTATCTGTGCATGCATTTGTATAATTATGTTGTACTAACCAATGTCAGTTCACAGAGTTTATCTACCAGTATATTGTTATGCAGACCTTAATGTAAATAAAATCATTCTAATTATTGGAAGTTAGGAAAACTTTTAGAAATGATAACAATTATATTAGATGTAAATCTAACACTAGCCACTTCAAAAAAGGGTAAGGTCCAGAAATTAAACAAGTCAACCACACTTTCATTTTGGTTGTCGAGATTGGTCGTGGACTGCTAAAATACATCTTGAACCAGTGATATTTTGGCACTTTGGTGTAGAATTTTTGGTTCAACTGTAGGCCTCAACCCATATCATATCATAATGGGAGTGATATTATGGCCCGAAGGGTAAGCTTAATACAGTCATCATCAATGTACTGTACATGCAATACCAGGTACCCTAATGGAGCTACGTGTAATAAAGTCAAATTCATTTATGACGTTTTATATTGGGGATAATGTTAAACATAAAAGAATAAAACAACTATTTTCTTCATTATTGAAACATGCTACATAGGGTTCCCATGGAGACGTGTTTCAGAGCTGTCGACATTTTGTTTATTTGCAACTCCTTAGCTTCACACTATATTTTTAAATAAATTATTACAAAAAACACTGAATCTCAGAATAAATTTAAATAATTTATATTTCTTCAGTTTTAAGACAGTCTTAAAATTCATAACCATAGGTGCCTATTTTTCTACTCCAGGATCAGCGACAATTCCCTCTTAACTTCATCAATGACGGTTGATCCTCTATATCTACAGCACAAACATGACGGTGAGAACACTTCAAATAATACTTCTTTCTTTTAGGAAGTTATTTTGTTTCCTTTATTGAGAATCCAATCACACGAAGATGTACTATTCGGAAAGTTTCTGTTCTTCCTGCTAATTTTCGGATCACATCCTCATATTTTATGTCTTTCCTCTTTAAAAATCTTCAATAGAAAAATCAATTGTTGTAATTCAGAACTAAATACGGCCTTTCGCGTTTATAATCTGACATTTGTTAAGCATTAGTTATTGTGATTCTTAATGTTACTATAGTGAATCTGTGTTCTTGTTTACTGATTAATTACAGAAGAATAAGCAATTTAATAATGTCATGAAAAATATATAGTAAAGATGAAATAATTGAGGAATATGGCTTTATATAAAACTGTCGTAAAATACTCGGAATGATAAGACGTACAATAAATTTTCATATCTTTTAATGTACATGTACTAAAATTGTACAAGCATGCATTTATTAATCATACACTAACACCCAAGTCACAACCTACAATTTTGATGTTCATAATATATACCTTCTCCTGTAAAATACGCAAATATTAGTATACAGTATATAATTAAGGCATTGCATGTTTTCCTTTTAAATTGTTAAGTTTGTTCTGTGTTCGTTTAATATGTTAACGATATGTATAAATTTCGGCCCATAAAGTACAAACCAACACGGAAACTAGCCATACTTTGTGAATCTTATTATTACATGTGATAATTTAATATACTTTTGTCGTGATGTATGTACAAGTCTAATTACATCAACAATCAATGAAATACACATGTATAATCAGTCTGTATAATGAATTTCTCATGTCCATTTCATTATCGAGGTGAAATTTTACACTATTTACGGAACGATGGTGTTAGGAAGTGACACTTTATCAATCAGAGGCAAGTCAAACGAAGATTAAAAATCTTCACTTTATCATGATAATTCTTACGTATATCAAGAGTGAGGAGGGAAGGAAATAGTTCGAGAAAATTAATAGATAGGAGAAATTGAATGTAAATTTTTGCAAGGAATAAAATCAATTGGAGATTGTTTTTTAAACTGATTTATACAGTTGGAAATATGTATACATATAATTAGGACTCATATATTCTCCTACAAAAACGTATTGAATTAAAAAGGTGCAAACCTTTTTACTGTTACATTTCAACATACTTGTATTGTCTTTGAATATTCAAAACCTTTAGTGTTGCCTTATTCATAAGCATACTATTTCTCTGAAAAAATGCAGTTTTGAGAATTTGCTGTAAAATTAATCCCATTTTTCCACAATATTTTTTTTTTCTTTTGGGTTCTTTTTACAGGCTTTTCAGATGAAAAGCTGAAAACTGTTTCCTTGCACTAGTATCTGTATGTATGACAAAAATTTGAGGTTTGTTATATGGACAAATTCAAACTACGGATAGATAGTTAAACATATATGGACATTTAAGATCGATTTACATAGTAATGACCTATGTATAGTTATTTCCTTTACAGAGTTAAATTCGACAATGGACTTTCGCATGGGGAATTAACACAAAACATTGTCACAAAAGTTGCTCTTGTAATTAATTTTACATGAACTCCTACCCCAACCCCTTTTCGTGTTTTGCTATCAAAGCTGAAACACTGACCATAGATACTTAACCAAAGTTGGTAGTGCGTTCTAGTAAAGTATTTCTTTGCACTAATGAAGTACTCTTTAGTAGGGTGTTGAAAAACTTTATAATACAACGACATTGCTTCATGAATGGTACCGGTAAATGAGAGGAAAAAAATCATTATTTTTGCGGATAACCAGTATTGTTCTCTCGTATCCAACTGATGAAATCATTAAATTTGGCCCAGCATCATGATTTAAATTAAACTTCACCCCAAACCTGTACACTGTTTCTGAAATGGTGAAGAACTTTAATAGTCCCAAATCAAAATGATGTTCAAAAATACATCACCAAGTGTTGTTATCTACAAATTTTATACAAATTTTAAATTTCAGAGCCCATATGATTAGCATCTTATAGATATTTGAAAATTTTACTAAAATCTAAGTCGGTTTCGTTATCCCGTGGCTGGATTCTGTTATCTTCGTTTTGTAACTGAACGAATGTAAAAAAAAATTATTTCATTTTCTAGATAAAACAGTTGATCTTCGGGTGAGTCAATTCAAAAATATTTCATTTACAGCCAAGTAAGGAAGACAAAATCAGATGATTTTCAAATACAAATAATAGTTACTGAAAGAATGTGATTTTCTTTGTTTCATTTATCTTGATAACATTTTAAGAATATTGGAAATAGAAAAAAAACATGTTTCACTACTACAGCACTGGGGGATCCCACTGAGTCGGCGATTCAGAGCCTTAAAGCTGTGGTTTGTACTACGTACATATGGAATAGAGGGACTGCAAGCACAAATACATCTGGTACATACTCATTGTAACTCAATAGCATCAGTTGTAAAATATTTTCTAGCAGAATGGATTGTTATAAATTTAATGCAATTTGTTCTTCGATCGAGTATTGATTTTGAATGAATATTTTTTTTATGTAATCTACACCCAAAATAAATTGTTTATACAAGAAAAGATATATCTTCATTCCTAATCAGCATTTCATTGTATGATTTTATTAAAGGAAAATATAGCACTTACTTTTGTTCCACAGCATGTAAAATTGGCAAAGTTATTCGAAACATTTGTGAAGAATGATGCCAGATTTGAGATTCTTGGAAAAGTTGCAATGGGTCTCGTATGTTTTCGATTAAAGGTAAAACCTTAGAGTATCTATAGTTATTTAAAATGAATTTTAAGAAAAAAATGAAGAAAACTGTCTTTTGATGGATTGAGAAGTATCAAAAGTTAATTTTTTTGTTTTTAAAAATTCATAAATCATTCTAAATACATGTATACAATACATATGTGTTGCATCAGCATTTGAAAAGTATTTTGTGATTTTTCCAGGGACCAAACTCTTTAACAGCTAAGTTATTGCACATGATTAATGAATCTGGAAAACTTCACATGGTACCGGCTCTTCTTAATGAAGTGTACGTTATACGATTCGCAATCTGCGCCCAAAATGCCAAAGAAGAAGACATTGAATTTGCTTGGAAGATTATTTCAACCGAGGCCAGCTCTCTGTTGATGGAACGAGAATATATTGAGAATGGAATGAATACTGAAAAGCTAGAAAGTGCTGAGCAGAAAAATCCCGACATTGATGACGTGTTTCCCGATTTTGATGATGAATTTATCTTTGACCAGCAAAAAAGTAATTTGCATCGAGCTCGCCTTCGTCGAAGTTTGTTCATGAGGATGGTTTCAGACCCTAAATGCTATAATCCAAAGGTTCTTAAAGCATTGTGTACGGACAAAAAGAGAACAAAGAGTACGTCATCCGATGAAATTGTCGACTTTAACTTTGAAAAGTGATATATCCTTAGAACATGTCTTCTGTCTAGAAAGTGATAAGAAATCATTTTATTAGAATTAAATACTGAATGGAGGTTCCTAGGCTCTCGTTTTTGCTTCTAGTTTGTCTTTTTTTCTGCTGTCTTTTAGATCTTTTGAGCTAACACTGGTGTCAGTAGTCATTATTTCACATTACAAAGATGTGAAGTATCTAGGGGTTATCCCCCTCCCCCACGGTGGTATCGGTAATTTTGATATTAAATTGGGGAACCTGGTTTTTTAATGACTAAATATTAATCATCCAAAGTCAAGAAAACAAATGCAGTCTACAGTAAAAACGCACTTATAACGAAGTGTCATGTGTGCATTTTAAAGTCACGCTATAATCGTCAATTTATTATAACCTTGTTCGCTGTAAGCTTGTTTTTCTGCTCTTTCTAGCTAACCAGAGCCGAAGGCTCCATTGAACTTTTCTGATCGGAGAGTGTCCAGCGTACGTCAGTCGTCTGTAAACTTTTCACAATTTTGACTTCTTCTCAAGAAACACTAGGCCAATTTTAACCAAACTGGTCAAAAAGCATACTTGGATAAAGGGGATTTGAATTTAATCACAGGAAGTACGAAGGCCTCTTTAAACGAGAGATAATTAAGAAGTAGTGAAAATTAGGTGCCATCTGTAAAAAAAAATTTCTCAGGAACAACTGGGCCAGAAAAGATGAAACTTGTGTGAAAGCTACATTACATACTGTAGATTTTTTTTTTTCATATCATAACTCCCGGGGGTAGGGCGGGGCCACAGCAGGGGGTCAAAGTTTTACATTGGTATATAGGAGAAGTCTTTAAACGTCTTCTTCTCAAGAACAGCAAAGCCATTGTTAGTCATATTAATGCTGAAGCATCCTTAGGTAGTGTAAATTGGAGTTTGTTCAAATCATGACCCACGGGGGTAGAGCAGTACCAGAGTAGGGATTAAAGTTGTACATAGGAATATGTTGGAAATATCTTTAAAAATGTTCTTCTCAAGAACAGCAAAGCCATTAGCAGTCATAATTCTACGGATACATCATCAGGTAGTGTACATGGAAGTCTGTTCAAATCATGAGCACTGAGTGTAGGGCCACCCTACTAGGGTGGGGCAGAAATGGTGGATCAAAGTTTAACATAGAAATATATTGAAAAAACTCTTTTCCCCAAGAACGGAAAAAGACATTATTAGTAATATTACCATAGATTTTGAAACATCCTCAGGTAATGTAAATTCAAGGCTGTTCAAATCATGGCTCCTGCGGGTAGAGTGGGGCCATAAAAAATACATACATAAGAATATATAGGAACTAGAGCCGAGCTCGTTGCAATGCAACGAATAGGTCTTCCGTCGGAGCTCCGGACAGAACATAGCGACCTTGAGTCAAGGTCATGCAACATTTTAAGGTTATAAACAATCCTGTAAGGGGCATCAACTTCCAATGTTTAACAGAAGAAAGACAGTAAAAGAATGTAAAATTCCCCTGTCAGTGAACTTGAACTTGTGCAAATAATCGTGCGTCAAGCCAGGACACATTCTGCAGCTGGTTAAGAGCAAACACCATCTGTATGTCATCGACAAAAAAAAAAATTCACAGTCACGTATTCTTTCAGACTATTCATCCAAAACATCATATTCTAAGTGACCTCGAATTTAAGTCAAGGCCATTACACACTTTGGATGATATATTTATCATCTTTTCAGTGAAATGCAAATGCATGCAATTTTTTCTATTACAAAATTAAAGACCTTTTTGTTTGTTTGTTTGTGTGTATGTTGTTTAACGTCCCTCTCGAGAATTTTTCAATCATGTGGAGACGCCACCATATTTGCCGATGGAGATCTGCAAATTTTGACCTATACTCGGCACTCATGGCCATTGAACAGTGAAGGATCTTTTTCGTGCCAGCACCTACTGCCAGACGGGACTTCAGTTTATACGGTCTCATCTGAAGGATCGGTCTCTGCGTTCCATAGTGGGATTCGAACCTGCGACATAAGGATCAACTCCTTAATCCATGACGCTAGAGGAGACACTCTTACCACTGCGCCACGTGGGCGACTAGACCTTTTTGAATTTTACACTTATTATATCGTGACCTTGAACTTGCCTAAATGACCTATTTTAAGGTCAAAAACAACCTTTGAACTAATTATAAGCTTCCAGTGATACTCAATGACCAAGATATTCCTGAAAAAGAATATTGCACTTTTCTGTCAGTGACCTTGAACTTACCAGAAAGACCTTGGATCAAGGTCAAAACACATCCTTGGATCATAAGCAATCTCTGTATCAAGTAATAGCTTCCAGTGATTTTATATTACAAAGTTATAGCATGGAAAAAAAATTAATATTTATCTGCCAGTAACCTTGAACTTGCGGGAAAAACCTCTATTCAAGGTCAGGACAAACCCATCTCAAGCAATCTGAGAAAAAGTTTCCTGTGTTCCTCCCACCCTTTATAAATTTATAATCCAGGCACGAGTTTTGCCACTTCTGCCAATCTAGTACTATGTTATCTCAAACCGGTGGATCATAAGCAATCTTTGTTCCTAGTATGAGCTTCCAAAATTATAGCACATACAGTAATCTTACACTTTTCTGTCAGTGACCTTGAACTTACAGGAATGACCTTGAATTAAGGTCGTGGCAAACTCTTTTTGTCATAAGCAATTCCTGTATCCAGTGAGCTTCCGGTGACTCCTTATTAGAGATAAATGAGTCGGACAAAACTTTGCTATTTTTTTTAAGTGACCTTGAACTTGCCGGAATGATGTTGGATCAAAACCATGACACACCCTCGGATCATTAGTAATCTTTGTACCAAGTATGACCTTCCAGTTTCTTCATAACAAAGTTATATCCTGGGCAAACTATCACGTACAGCCGGACAGCTAGGCAGACGGACAGTGTGATTCAAAGACTCAAAACACCCCCACCCCAAACCAACACACTTCGTTTGGGGGGATATATAAATTCCTATGTTAAATTATGAACACTCTTTCCGGCCCAAACCTTCTCCCTGGAATCAAGATTTGAAAAATAAAATGAATGTATGCTATGTTGGAAATTTTCTCATTCTAGTCCATGGGTTCTTGAGAATACTATTTTCAAATGACCCCATGCGCGGATCTAGAGGGGGTTGGGGGCAGTTAAATGTATATACTAAAGCAAGTAAAAGTAACCCCCCCCCCCCCTAGAAAACGCAGACCCTTCCTCGATAACGCGGATCTGTGTTAAAATGGTATGAAAAGTCTTAGGTATGAAGCTTTAAAAGTCAACGACCCCCCCCCCCCCCCACACGCGCGCACATAAACACACACACGAAATAGGTTTTTCATGTTTGTGAAAAGAATTTCTTTTTTTTGGATCGTCAAGAAATTTCTGGGTTGAAATATTTTTTTATTGGGATCCCCTCCCCCCCCCCCCCCCCCGTGGAAAAAAAAATCCTTGATCCGCGCCTGGACCCCATCGATAGTATCTTAATATCTTATTAGTATATACCTGTTTAATTGCAATGTAACCAAGCGTAACGATCGCTTGCCAGGACTTTTTTGAATATAATTTATAACCGTTATTAAAACAACTCGTCAGCTGAGCGGACCTATGATTTAAACAGTAAAACAGGGAAATTCCAGAGTTCGAAGTGTATTTATTTTGGGCGCTCTTCCACATAAACAAATAAGACCGCATTTACGCGTACTTACATGCATGTACCAGTAATTCGTATCATGGGAAAATTCAGTTTATTAGATGAAATAAAACAAAAGCATAAGGTTAATCTTCCTAAACAACACGTTTTTAAAACAATCTCTAATATAACTGACGGTATAAAATAACAAAGAAATAACGGGATTGTGTAAATTTGTATTTAATTTAGAATGAGAACAAATCTTAACCTGTCAAATCATTTATAAAACATACTTCGTTTCCCAGACACTAATTGTCGTGCGTAATCTTCACATGCACTGACCAAGAGGTCACAAGTTTGAAATGTATGGCTTCTCATTGCGTGAGTTTTGTCAACACATGTCGGAGTAAACTATCTAAGCCAATTGATTCCCAAAGAAAACTGCATAGGAAGTTTTTTTTTGTACACTTTTTAACGGGTAAAATTCATTCGACGCTCGATAGAATTTTCAAATACAAGTGAAATACTTAGGTTACTTGCGTCCGAACTAGTATTTTGTATGCAATAATATTGTAAGTTAGGAAGAAAATAATACAAACTCAAAAGTAGTTAACTTTATTTTCGATTTTCCTGACAATTAAAAATGTGACCTCTACGTACAATCATCGTGATAATTATATACATGCTGTTTAATGTTCATGAAAGAAATAGCAACTCGTTAAATAATAACATTAGAGAGATAAATAAACTGTTTCTTTAATACGCAAACAAAGTGGTCTTTTCGGCATTCGAAATGCATTGAATTTGAAGTCAGTTAAGACTAGTTGATTAAAACGAGCGAGTGATAAACAGTAAGACGAAATAATATGAAAGATTCTGAATGATTTTAAAGTAATTTTTCACAAAGCGCAATTATCTCGATATCGAGAAATACAATGTTTATAAAAATAAAATTAATATGCAACTTTCTTGTAATTCAGCGAATAAAATATAAATTGAAATGTACTAGCGACTTAATCAAAGATATTATAAAATAATCTGAAAGATTCAACATATTTATCCACTCATCACTTAGTTTACAAAATGTATTTGGAAAGGCCATTCTATGGTTTGTTTTGTGTATGACCTTAGGTCGCTGGATCACACGCCGATTGATCCCCGGTGACCTCCTCTGCCACGCGCTATCGAGGGAGGGGTTACATAATTGTAAACACACAAGGTAAATGTAAAAGGCGTGTACTTAATGGCTGTGAATGGTCTATGTTTAAAGTTTTGTTTTATTTTCTAACTTTATTGTTTGTTTTTATATGATAAGAAGAAAAGGTTATCTTTTTTCCCTGTTAAGTAGACTGGTTTATCCAAAT